TTTTTTTTTTTTTTTTTTTTTTTTTTTTTGGAGACAGAGTCTCTCTGGAGTGCAGTGGTGTGATCTCGGCTCACTGCAGCCTCTGCTCTCTCGGTTTCAAGCAATTCTTCTGCCTCAGCCTCCCAAGTGGCTGGGACTACAGGCGTGCACCACCACACCTTACTAATTCTTGTATTTTTCGTAGAGATGGGGTTTCACTATATTGGCCAGGCTGGTCTTGAACTCCTGACTTTATGATCCGCCCACATCGGCCTCCCAAAGTGCTTGGTTTCTGTCTTTGAAGTCTTGCGTAGAAAGTCTTTCTCTACCTTGAGATTATAAAAATATTTAATTATATTTCTTCTAGTACTTTTTTGGACTAAAAAAATAAGTTGTTAATATATCTGAATTTATTTTATGTGAGATTTGTAGTAGGGAATCACATTTCCCCCAAATGCCTAGCCAGTTGTACCATCACTTATTGAGAAATATACTTTTCCTACTGAATTAAAATGTCACCTGTAATAAAATAAGTTAAAATATATTAATGCCTGGATCTCTTTCTGGCCTCTCCTGTTTTGTGACCAGTGCCAGGCTATTCTTATTTCTGTTTTAGCATTTAAGTGAGATACAGTGTATTTATATACCTAAATGATCTTTGTGTAAATAAGAATTCAAAGGTTTAAAATGCAGCATAGTATAGATTTATTAGTTTAGTTCTATCCATATCTCCTTACTGAGTTTACTCCCTTCTTATGCTTGTGACAACGCATTTCCATTTCAAAGCAACAAAAATAAGATACAGAAGCCCACATAAGCAGGAATACTGCTTACCTGTTAGGCTTTACTGCTTTTTGATTATTGTCTTCATCCTTTGTCCTATCCTTGACTATAATTAAACACCGATAGCCAATTATCAAAGTATTTTTTGGTTTTCTTACTGTTACAGTTCATTATAAAAAGCAAAGCTTGCTATTCCCTATCTAGGAGCCATCAGCTTTCTTGTGCTGTTAGGGAAGGATGAAAAAGGAGGGATGATATTTTTGTTAACAACTGATATGTAAAAGGAGTAGAAATAGGAAAGAGTTCTTACAGGTAAACATGTTGCCGATACCAAAAATGGACAAAGAAAAAAAATATAAAAGCTGGAAAAGTTGAAATCCTTTAGTATGTTTTTCAAAAAGATAGGTGGAAACTGAGGGGAAAAAAAGTAAGTTGTGAAATTGAGGTATAAGCATTTTATTTAGAATGATTGAGTGTAACGACTAAAAATAAACATAAATGGTTAAAAGTAGTCACTTGTGATCACTGCAACACTGGTTATGATGGAAGACTTGTTTATTTTTATATTCTTTAGCACAGTTTTAATTTTTTTGTGTGTTTTTGTTATGTGGTTAATATATAAATAAAATCAGTATTCTCAATGCATAAAATCTTGGCATTTAATACTTTTTTTGGTCATTGTAACAGACTTAAAATTTTTTTTGTAATGGTTCAATCCATTGCTGAAAAAAAATGGGTAACATTACTGGACCCTCTTATGCATGACACTCTGTGAGGGTTCTATCATTTAAACCTGCAACCTTATATGATAAAGAGGCATCATTCTCCATTTTACAAATGAGCTAATTGAGTGCTTAGTGACTTGTTCTCCAAGGTCGTCATAAAGATACTAAGTGAGTTGTAGGGTACTGCCAAGTTCTCATGCTTTTTCTGCCTTGTAAGATTATAATTTCTGAAATTTTAATTCTGCCTCCTTGTTGTAGACCCATTTGGCCTTTACTTTTATCACCTGCTTATCCTTTGGTTTGTCAACAAATACTGCTGGCCGTGCAGAGGTACTGTGCCTAGCTATTGTGGGTAGTACCAAGGGAAAGAATAAAACCTGACATTTCTGTTTTCTTAGCCCACTTTATATACCTATAAATTAACTATATAAAGAAAAAAATCAATAAAATTGGTACTTGTAGCCAGACTGAGGAATAAAGAGAATATACTAATTACCAATATTAGGAATGAAAGGTGACTTCAGACATTGAAAGGATGATATGGCAATATTGTGAACAACTTTATGCCAGTAAATTGGACAACTCAAATGAAATGGAGAAACTCTTTAAAAGACACAAGGTATAAAACTCACTCAAGAAGAAATAGATGACTGTTTAGCCTTATACTTATTAAAGAATTGAACTTGTAGTGGAAAACACTGCAATAATAATTCTGGTCTGAGTTGCTTCACTGTTGAATTCTACAAAACATTAAAGACTAAATCCCATATGATACAGTCTTCCATAAAATGGTATCATCTTGTGAGACTAGCATTACCCTGATATTCAATCCATAAAAAGACTTTATAAGAAAACTGTAGACTGATAACCCTTATGAACATAGATGTAAAATTTCTAAATAAAAGTTTAGCAACTCAGATCCAACAATATATTTAAAGGATACTGCATCATGGCTAAGTGGGGTGTATCCTAGAAGTGTAGGATTTGTTTAACATTCGAAAAATTAATCATTATACTTTGCCATTACAATGGATTTAAAAATAAAACTATATAATCATCTCAAGATCAATCTATCACACTATATATACATATATATAGTGTATATATGTAGTATAGATATATGTAGTATTATCTAATTAGGTTCTTAAGAAATTTAAAACACCAGTTTGTGAGGATAAATTCCATTTGTCAGGGCAAACACAGATCACAGGTAGCCCTGGAGCTGAGGAATAGCTTTGAGTTTTTGTACAATTTGTGAGTCCACAACTTTCTCATCAATCTTGCACTGCTCTGTAGTCTTGTAGTTCTCTTTTTCTGTGTCAGAGATCTCACCTTCCTGGTGTCTGGGCTTCTGTAGCTGCTTCTTGAAGTGAGCATCAATAAGATGTTTTGGGATTTTTACATTGCTGATGCTAATTTTGGTTGAGGTGGCAATGACAAATTTCTGGTGTGTTCAAACTCCACCTGATTAAGAGATATTTTTGAAAGATTGACAAAATTTGTTTCTGGTAAAAATTCTCAGCACTCTAGGAATAGAAAGGAGTTTTCTCAACTGGATAAAAGAATCTTTGAAAAATATTACAATTGACATATTAATGATAAAAGACTTATTGTTCTCTCCCAAAGACTGGGAATGAAGAAGAATGCCCACTTTTACCGC